TGTACTCAGACATGTACCCAGACTGTGCTCATGCATTGCCCAAACCAATCTTCACATGTTACGTGGATCCCAAACTCAGCTATCCTCAGTCAAGCTGTTAACTTGTCTTAGACATGGATCTGTCCAGAGAAAGTAGATCCTTCTTGATCCTGTCAGGAGAGGTGATATGAGGATAGCTGAGACGTAGTTGCAGCCCAGTTGTTTCAAGAGGTAGATTGTGTCAGAGTGAAATCCTATTATCCCTGCTCACTTGTTAGGAGAATAAATATGCTGACACTTCTGCTTCTCTAAAGCAATCCAGTCTTAAGCTTTGATCTTGATAAACTTCTCTTAACAGAAAAACTGCTGGCTACGTGGAAGGATGTTGGTCTGGAGCTGAAACCACACTCCTCAGCTGAATGCAACTTCTGTAGACGACCCCTGCATTTTGAAGTGATGAGTGAACGAGAACGAGCCTACTTCAGTGGCATGAGCAAACTAGTATCTGTCAGTGCATGAAAGTAACAATTTTAGTTTGTTGTCCAGCTCTAGTATCGAGTCAGTAGCATTTTTTAATTGTTCAAGTATTTTAATTGTAGTTGAAGCACTATGCTCTGAAAATAAATTTCTAGAGCCATGATGCCCATTTGTGTTTGTGTGCTTCTGTGTCCCTTCCAGAACTGGAACTGAAGTGTCAGGGGGGGCATTTGATGGAATAAAAGAGTTCTCTACAGCTAAATGGCCCTCATGTCAAATGACTATGCCTAAAGAACTTCAGTAGTGCTTCCTGCATGGGTTTATTTATTATGGAAAGAGAAAACAGCTTCTCTGGGACATCTTCCTGAAAGCCTTTGAAAACATGCAGGTGTAGTTCTACATGCCCACTAAAACTTAACCACCTTGAGAGGTGCTGTATAAGCAGCTTACACCCATGTTTTGGGATGCAGGCATTCAGAATGGGATCTGAGGGATGCTCTCTCCCTCTGCTACACCTCTTCTTCCTCTGTAGTTCTGTGCACAAGCATTCCCCTTCTGGCATTCACTACTACCCCGAGGGGAAAGGTGCTAGTGGAATTAATGAAGTGGTAAATAGAAAAGCAAGCTGGGGGTATGTCAGGGGCTGGAAAAGGTGTGTCCACCACTGCAGGTGCTTAATGCAGGTTGGCTCTGGCTGCCTGTGTCTCTGCAGGAGCTGCTGTTCTGTGCAATCAGTGCTAGCCTGGTGTAAAAAACTGTCAGTAAGCAATAAAATAGTTCAGGTCTCTGAGAGAAGTCATTGTAGGAGAATATCAGTACTACCTTTGCAACCCTCCTGAAACCTTAGGCCTGTTACACCTAATTGCCATCTTCTTTCATGCTTTGGTGAATAGCAAAGGCCTGCTTTGAACAGGGGGAAGTAATTCTCTGGTGAGCACGTGTACTCAGAGGTCAGTATTGGCATCAAGTCAAGCAGAGCACTGAACTGCTCCTTGCAGGTGCAGGCACGTCCAGGAACTGCTACAGTGGCTTCCACAAGCCCCTGAACAGCCACTCTCGCCCAAGGACTCTTGTTTTCTGGCTGTAGGAGCCAGCCTGGCACTTCTCCCTGCTGTCACACTCACATGTGCACTGTGAGGCTCCCTCCCACTAGGGATCCATTATAGTATCACAAATAGCCATGTGTGGTGGAGATAGAATCCCAAATTAAAGCAAAATCATCAGCTGGAAGTCACCAGTTGTTTAAGCATGTCCTGAAGCACCCTGCTATTCTCAGAAGAGTTTTTATAAAAACATTTGACTTTCCAAGCAGTCAAGCTACTTTGGAAAAGCCCTTTGCAAGGGGCTGCTGCTGCCTCTGCCATGTGCAGGTGTTCTCTAGAAAGGAGGATGTGACCTGCCTGGCCTGGCCTTGCCATGAACCATTTGTGGCCCAAGACTCAATGCATATGTTATAGAGCTCTTCCCATTATCTTTTAGGTTACATTACTGCATTAACTAGAGATATAAAATAACAAGCCACAGCTCCTCCATCAACCTCTCCCTAGGACCTTGTCCCCAGCACGTTAACGTGCCAACAATGTCATTGCAAACTCTAGCAACAATCAGGGAACAGCTGTAAGCAATCAGTGTGTGGGAGATAACAGATGTTGACTCACATATGGCCATATTCTGACAATACCAGGTCACTTGAATTTCTAGGTTTTTTTTCACTGAAAGCTTTCAGAATTGGCCCAGTCCATTTTACAAACCACTTAATAAGTCCTGTGTTTCTTCCTAGTTTTTATAACAGTAACTCAACACTTTGTACTACCAAGGTGAAGAAATAAGACATAGAAAGGTACCAGCTATCAGAAATCTCCAAAGTTCCTCCAAATTAATCACAGGAGAGAACCAAACCCCAGGATTCAAAGCCAGCAACCTTTAAATGACAGGAACACGAATAACCTCAGCACGTGGCAGCCAGTACCTCCACACCTCTTCACATCAGCTGTGACAAATTACCTTTAGCACTGGTGCTGGCAAGCAAGAGTGTGAAAGCAGAACCAGGGCACAGCAAGAGGCCAGCAGATGTCCATCACTTAACTGCAAAAGAAAGACAAATCCAATGGCACATTGAAAGGATAAATTCTCCCCAATGAAAAGGACAAAGAAAGAAAAATAAACACATATTGTTTCCCAGCAAATAAAAAAAATGAATAGGGGGTTGTATAAGTAGGGATAAGTTATGCAAACTTCAGTTTGGTGCCTGGAAAAAAAAATAATAGAGGAAGTAATCAGTAAAATATGTTTAGAGTCAGACAACAGCAGTGGCAGAGTGAGGAAGCAAGAATGCAGCCACAAAGCTGTGGCTAACATTTGTCTGGGGCAAAACAATTAATCTAGTTAAATGTTGCATAGCCCTAAACTCATACCCTCCTCCATTTCCCAACCTATTTACACAACAGAGAAACCCCAGGTGCTACAGGAGCAGCAAAACCATTCCAAGTGCAAGCAAGAGCACGTGTTCCCCACTGCTGGGAGGAGGCTGCAGAGTGGGGTTCTCCTCCTGGGACCAGGGGCAGGGGCACTATCAGGGCATTATCAGCACCACCAAATTCACAGCTCTGGTGTCCCTGATGCTTTGCACACATTTATGTTGGGATTCACCCCTTGCACCGCAGCCTGGCCTGCTGCCAGCAGCTGGGATGGGGGACATGAGTGTGGACTGAACACCAACCACTGCTGCTGGGGCACACACTGGCACAAGGCACCAAAAGCCTCATGCGAGGTAGCCCCTGGGCCAGAGCTGCTAGCCCAGCTCGATCCCAAACCCTCATCATCCCCAGGCTAGGTTTGGCACCCTCCTCTCCATCCAGGCCCCCAACCTGCACAGCCCCAGCTGGGCTGATCCCAGATATCCTTACCCCAACAGGTAAATAGCCCTTCACTCCCTGCTGCTCCTGCTTCCTGCCATCCCCAAGGATTGTAGGGAGGGCACGGAGCTCTTGAGAGGACAAGGGCTCATCTCCCTTTCCCACAGGCACCTGAGATTTCATAGCCCAGGTGCCAACTGACTCTTAATTCACACATTCAGCTTACAACCAGGTGTAACTCTTTTGCAGCCCCTCTGCTTCAGATCTCAGGGGAGGGGGAGCCAAAGGAGTTAGCTCCTCTGAAATTTTGACCTTTCCCACCTGGGAATCCCATAAGGAAAAGCACCATACTCCTATCATTTACTCTGCTGTGTGGGTGTCCAGCCACAGCCCCCTGCAGCTGCCCCTTCTATGTGAAACAGGCTGTGCCCTGCTGTCCCCTGCCCAGCCAGGAAAATGCCATGTGCCCTGAGGTGGCACAAGTCACTGCTGACCAAATGTGGGTTTCCCAAGCATTGCCTCAAACCCCAGGTCTTTTGCAAGGCAGCAGCAGAGACTTTGAAATCAAACTAAAGAGAAGCTGGGACAGGAAAGGAAGGCATGAAGTGGAAAGAGATGGGGGACATGAGATAGGATGTGAGGGGAGAGGTGATAGTAGGAAGGGATGAAAGATGGAGAATGGGCTGGAGGATAGGATAGCATACAGAATAGGATGGGGTGGGACAGGAGACAGGATGAGATAGGATGGGGAGGGTGCCCAGCCTTTGGGCTGCTCCTGGCCATCTCTCCCATGACCATGGGCCTTTGGCACAGGGGGATGTCACCTGGGACAGCTGCACTGGCAGGGGGTGGGGGCAGTGAGTGGGACAGGTGGGAAAAGGGGAACAGCCCTTACTCCCCCTCAATATTTGGGCAAGTTAAAAATTACCAAGCACAGAAGGGGAGTAAGATCCGAAGGAGAAGGGTGACTCAGCTTGTCAAATGACTCTGGTGGCGTCAGCCAGGCTTATTAGCATTTATATACAGGGAGCTTTCCTGCACTGAGGCTGCTTCCTGCATAGCAGCATCTTCCCTCCTCCTCCTCCATGTCAAAGGGAAACTGCTCAGGGTTGGATTTTTGTTTTTGTTTTTTTTTTTTATAAAAACTGGTTTTTTAAACATTTTACAGCTAGCTTTGCAAATCTTCCATCTCATCCTGGGCGTGGAGGGTAAAGCTGAGACATGGCAATGCCCTGACCTGGAGGATTTGGAGCCTAGGATGCTGGCAGACCCAATTGCATTCTGAATTCTTCTGTTGGCTCTGCATCATCCTGCTTTCCCTCCCCATGGCCAGGCAGGAATTCACTCCAGGCAATAGAACAGCCCCAGGAGCACCTTCACAACCTTGCAAAATCACCAGCCATTAAAACAGGGAAAGCTGGGCTGAGCAGGGATGCTGCCTCCTGCAGCCAGCTCAAGGTCTGGGCATTGCTGGAGTGGCTCAGCGTAAAAGTCTCTGCCAGGCATTGTGGTTGTGCCAGACCCCTGGACTGAAGCCTGGATGTCCTTCAAGGTGGTGAGGGCAGGCAGGTTGTGAGAGTTGCTGGCTCCTGGCTCGTGAAGTCCAAGCAATTTGCTTTGTAGCTCCAGAGCCCACAGCTGCTAAATGCCCCAACATGGGGAACCCAGGGATCTCCAAAGAGCATCAGACTGTTTTAAAAATACTTTATTCTTTAGAAAATACAGCGTTCAGTACAGTGTGCTCTGCTCCCCCCAGCTTCAACCCCCTGACTCCGCCGAGGCCGAGGCAACATCGGGACGCTCACTGCCACAGCTGGAAAGCAGAGGGCAGGTTTCACTGACCCATTTTCCATCCTCTCAGGGAGGCACGTGGCTCTCGAGCCCTCGCTGGTACCCAGCAGCAAGGTGCTCTCCCCAGGCCCCCAGTGCAGCCCAAATCACAGTGCCAAGCTCAGACGTGGAGCTGATGATGGCCCTTGGTGGCTGGGGACATCCCCGGGGGCACACAGGGGCTGTCATGCTCCCCCACACAAGGATTTGGGGTAGCCCATGTGATTATTGAGATACGGGGCTGCCCCAGCCCAGAGACCCAGCTGAGAACCTGGGGGTAAGGTAATGGTGGGGGCTGGGGAACGGAGAGTGGGGGAGCAGGGCTCAGGAACCCCTCAGCTCCCATCCTAAACAGGGACAGGGCTGAGTCAGGGCTGTAACAGCTCCTTCTGAGGTGGAAAACCTTACTGGGGCAGTTCAAAAAGGGGATGCAAACATCACCCAAAGGCAGAGTGACCTTTCTCCAGGTCCAGGCTGAGCTCAGGACTCAGTGGGGAACTTCCACCTCCTGCTGCCTGGCTCTCTGCTGGGAGAAACTCCCATCCCACAGGAAGCAAAGCCCACCCCACAGGGGGTCCTGCCCACACCCTGAGGGGGTGCAGGATCGCTCCAGGCCTGGGGCAGAGGGGCCGTGCACACCAAGAGTGGGACAGGGGAACAAAGTCTGGAGGCTGAGGGGGGGCAGGGAAAGAAGCATTTTCTCTTTTCAAACAGGAATCCCCAACGCTACCCCCTTCCCTTTGCATAGAGCAGCTTTCACGTGAGTGTGTCCTTCAGTCACCCAGGGGACACCGAGAGCTGTGACCCTGAGGGGGACAGGAGCAAGGCTGGGGACATGGCTCTGCTGCTCCCGTCCTCCCCCCGCAGCCCCGGGGCTCGCACAAGGACACCGGGAAAAGAAACAGCGACAACCCTGAACCCTCCCCATCGCTCTGCCCCCAGGTGCAACAAGCCATCCAGATGTTTAAAAAAGGAATGAAACAGGAAAAAAAAAAAAAGGTAAAAAAAACCCAAAAAAAGGCTGAGATGGAGGGAAAGATCCCCAGGTCAGCGGAGAGGAAGGCGGGAAGCGCCGCAGGGATGGTGTCCTTTCACCGCCAGCCCTGCGGGATCTAACTGTCCTCGCCGTTCTCGCCCGGGCCCTTGATCAGCCGCTTCTGTCCCCGCTTGCCCACGGGCCCCTTGGGCTTGGCGAAGGCCTGCTTGAAGGCGTGCTGCTTGGGGTGCACCTCCTCGTACAGGAACTCCGCCGTCAGCTCCGCTCCGTCGTCGATCTCGATCTGCGCCCAGCAACGGGAAACGGGGGCTCAGCAGCTCCCTTGGGATTTGCCACCCACCTTTGGGGCACCCAACTGCCCCCCAAGCCCATCAGAGGGGCTGGACCAAGGCTGCAGCACAGTCCCTCGGCTGTGTCCGGCTCCGTCACCTCTGGGGAGGCTCACACTCACCTTCTTGGCTATCTCCAGGCAAAACTCCTGCTCCACAGTGTCCAGCAACCGGCTCTTGCAGCTGGAGTAGAGCATGCGCTCCTTGATGCTGCACTTGTACCCGGGCATGGAGTAGATAAAGACTGCAAAAAGAGGGCAGGGCTTGTGGCACTGCCCGGGCCCATGGCCACAGAGCACCGGCTGCATCCCACCCCGCTCACGGCTTTTCCAGCCCAGAGTCCCAGGTAACATCCAGCAACAGAGCGTGAGCATCCCATCCACCACCCCTCCCAAATCTCCCCTGGTATCCTGCAACACTGGAGGAAACCAAACCAGTCACCACCAAATCCTCTGTGGCAGCACCCAGAGACCTGCACTGCACCTGGCATTAAAGGGTTCCTGATGCACCATCCCCGTCCCTATCTGCTCCCCATGCAACCACTGGTCCAGGGAAAACAGGGACTGGCACAGGCTGAAACTGGCATTTCCCAGTGCTGAGGCTCTCACCAACAGACTCCAGATAATCTCCCTCGTGTGAGTGCTTGTACAGGAAGAAATGGTAGCGAGCAGAGTCCTGGGGGATCCTCTTGGGCAGGTCAGTGATCTCCGTGGGGCTCGTGTGCACCAGGTCGATGGTCTCCCGCTCCAAATCCAGCTTCTGATCGACAGAGGGGACAGAGATGGGAGTGAGAGGCAGCAGCAGGATGTGGGGAGTGGGGCACAGAGAAGCCGTGTGAGGGACCTACCAGCTGGATGTAGTTGATTTTCTTCTGCTTGAGAGCCTGGATGGCTTGCTGGGCATCCAGCTGCAGGGGGAAGGCCAGGCCCTGCAGCGTCTGGTGCTTGCTCTCCACGCTGATCTCCGTCTTCACCTGGGGATGGAGACCACCTCGAGCGTCAGGGCACAGTGGCAAAGGGTGGGGAAAGGAGAAATAGGAAAACCAGCTGGTTCTGCAGCTAAAGGCTTCTCATCCAAGGAGCTGTCTGACACCTGCCCCACAGGGATCATGGCATTAGACCACCGAGAGTCAGCCAGGCTCGGGATGGTGGTGCTTGTCACCATCCCAGCTCTCCAGGACATCACCCGGCCCCAGCCATGCACCCCCACACCTCCTGCTTCACTCTCAGCAAAGCCCAGCTCAAAACCAACGTTTCCCAGTGAATCCCTGGCACGGATGCTGTGACCAGCACTGGCACGTGTCCTCTCCGATCATCTCCGACTGCAACCTGTGGGTGACAGGGAAGCCCTGAAATCACAGCACTCAGCTGGGCACCCCACCCTCCTCAGTGGGTTTAACTGCAGCACACAGACATTCCCTCCAGGAATTCCACCGGAGTTGGGGATTGGAGTTCCACAGGTCAGAAAGATCCCAGACACTGTTTCCCCCACAACCCTTACAAGGCAGAGGCTGCCAGCCATATCCCGAGCAAACCCCCTGGACCAGGAGAGCAAACCCCACTTCAAAGAGGGGAGAGAAGGAGATTGCAAAGACATCAAATCGCTCCAGGTGCCTCCATCCAGCCACAGCAGGGTCCCTGCTGGGGACCGGGGGAGAAGGGCAGGACGCGGCGGGCACACCATACCTCCTCGGGGTCGGGGTACTCTACCAGCGATGGGCAGCAGCAACAGCCCCCCACCATCTGCCACAGAATACAGGGAGATGGCGTCACCCCATGGCAGAGGAGCCCCTCCCACCTCAAGACCCCCTCCCAGGGAAACACTCCAGCAACAATATCCCAGCTGCTCTGCAGTGAGCGTGGGTCCCTTTCTTCTGGGATCGGTTTTGGGGATTTTGGATAGAGTCCAACCTTTATGGGGTTTTGTTTTTTCTTTCTTCATTTCCCTCCCCCTGATAGAGAAAAGGAAGAAAAGTCAAGGCATGCCAAGAGAAACACAAGAGTTTGTGCTGACATCTCAAAACCACTCGGCAACACCAAAGTGGGTCTCGTTACAGGCTGCCCTTTGTTACAGCAGCCCCACGCGGTGCCCACACCCTGGGGAGATGATGGAGCCAGATGCCCGGAGCAGAGCATGCAGGAAAACACTGCCAGGAGAAGGAGAAACCGGGCATCAAGCGGGCAGAGCAGCCTACCATCTCAGTGCTCGAGTCTTGGGAACAGGAGTCCTGCGAGCGTGGGGAGAGGAGACACACTGTCAATGGCACCCGGCGCAGGGAGGGCGGTCTCGTGTGGGAGGGGAAGGGCTGGGGGACACACGGATGTGCCAGAAGGAGGGAACTGCACCACCTCTCTGCTGGAGGGCAGGGAACACTGATCCTGGAAATGAGGGCAGGGAGAGCAGCAAAAAGCCACGCAGGAGATGCCAGTGCTGGGGAGGAGCAGGAGGGAGAGCCTGGCCAGCCCAGAGCCTGGGCATGCAGGGTCTCCATCAAAATCCCTGTGCAGAGCCCATCCCTGCCCCATCTCCTCCTGGCTCCCCAGTCAGGATGGCCCCAGCCCAGGGTCTGGAGGAGTTCCAGCACTTGCAGCAATAGCATTTGGAATATCTTCCACCAAGGTGCACATATAGAAGGTTAGTGAGGAAAAAAATGCCCAAGCTTCTCTCCATGCCAAGCATCCTGGAGGATGAGCAGGGCGTCCCTCGGGAATGCTCAGGTTGGCACAAAGTCCAGCTGACCCCCAGCTCTGCTGTCCTACCATCCCATCCTGCGGAGAGGTGCAGCACAAGGACATTACCACTGCCAACACCTCCAGAACCCCAGCTTTCTCTGCCATAAATGCAAGAAGACCAGGAGAGTTACAATGGGACCGTAGAGACCTTAGCTCTGACACAAAGCACACTGAAGTCCAAAACCACCGAGAGATGGAAATTTGTCCCAGCAATATCAACTCCCCCATATACCTCTGTATTTTCTACTCCTTCCCTTTTCAAAAGCATTAAAAACTGTCTGCCTGAAACACTCCCCAGGGCACAGTCTGGGAGCAGTGCACGGGACAGCTGAGCATGTGTTGCAACCCAGCCTCCCAACCCTTCCAGCAGCAGGCTTGCCTAGGAGGTTATTTTATCTCCTTTCCTTTAGGTTAGACTCTCTCCTCCTCTTTTGTCCCTCCTGGCATGGTGCTGACCCTGCCAAAGGAGCATTTCTCTGTCTTATGACAAAGTCCTCATGGGAAGGTTCTGGCCAAGCAGCACCAACACTGTAGGGCAGCTGTGAAGGACACGCCCTTACACACTGCAATGGCAACAACAAACCCAACAAACCCGCGTTTCTCCTCAATTCTCCCACCTCCTCTCCCAGCTCCAAGGCTGCCTTGCCCTGCCCCATGGGCCCACCAGTGGGATATGGCCAGCTCCCCCTCCACCTCTATTTCTGAACCTGCAACACTTCTACAAAGACTCCCCAGTCGTGGGTGTTGAGCTCAATGCCAAATTCAAAGCTGTTTCTTAGCCCACGGTCTGCTGACAACTATCAGCTCAGTAAAGCTGGCATTTTCCAGCTATTAAAAATATATTTATAAATCAGGTGGCAAATTTCCACGAGCTCTCACCCAGCTATCAAAAAGTGGAGTTAACTCATGACATCACCTCTGTCCATCACATCCTTAAACCACAGCCTAAACCCTGCTTTCACAAAGGCTGGACAGCTCCCTGGGGGATGTGCAAACCTGAGTCCTTCCTTGCTCAGTGTTGAGGCCACTGTGCTGGCTCTGCAGCCCTCACCTGTCCCTTCAGGCTATCCTGCCCTTCTCTTCCCATCCCCTCTCTGCACTCATCTGGTGGCTGGGGAGGATCCCAGGCAGTTTCTGCCTGACCAGAAACAGAGGCACGTGCAGGGTGAAGGCTGCAAGTCTGGCTGGTGTCTTGGAGGGTTGGGAGTCAGCAGCAGCTGCAGGCGAGGGGCACAGCAAAGCACCTGTGGTTTTGAAAGAAACCATGTCCCTTATGTCACTTCTGAAATCCTAATGGGTTGGCTGAACACAAGGGGATGCACAAGGTCCTGGACCTTGCAGGGGCCTGGGCAGACATGCAGAAGTGCTGAGGTCAGGGCTTGCCCCAGGGCCGATTCCCAGGTCAGTGCTGGCCCTCAGCACTCATTCCCACACTCTGGATCTGCTCCTCCAAACTCAGCTGTCACGTGCAGGCACACTCCAGCCCCCACAGCCTGTGCACAAGGGACCCTGCAAGCTGCAGGCAAGGAACAAGACTGGAGGCATCTCTGTACCAAGCAGGTTGTGAGCTGCTCCCATGCCCTTCCCCTCGATCTCAGCCATCTGATTTGTGCGGCTCCAGAAACTGCCTCAAACCTGCATTTACTGGCATTCCTGAGATTTCCCACCTCAGGGAGGCCAGAACAGCACTAAGCACCAAAATAATAGTTCCCACTGCCTCCTGCTCCATGTCCAACCAAGGCTGGGCAGCTGCAACACCAACACAGAGACCCCTTAGCACACTCAGCACTTGGCTGCTTCCCACCTTTAAATCCACAGGGGAAAACATATTAATCTTCATCTCATTCTTAATACCAGTGACTCCTCCCTGTGGCCCAGGCTGACACAGGGGACATGCACCCTTAAAATAACCCTCAACAAACCAGACAGCAGCAGCACTTCCATCCAGGAGCTGCATCTCACAAAGGCAAGGGTGGGAGGGAAGGAGAATGAGGCAGATAAACGAGCATCACTAGCACCACTTACCTGGGCCATACAACCCTGTAAAACACACCCCAACAGCCACCCAAAACTACTTAATCCTGCAGCACAGGCCAGACAAGGTGATGGCAGATCACAGATTCAGGTGAGTCAAAAGCAACCCTCAAGGATCATCAAGTTCAGATGTCCCAAGGTGCCAAACAAGCCACACATCAGCACCTCTCTCTTCTCCAAACATGGGCATCCCCTCGGAGCTCCCAGGACAAATTCTGCCCAGGCTCTCCAGGCTGGGAGCTAGGGTAACTCCCCTAAGACCCACCTTGTGGAGACCACCCCTTGGTGGCTTCTCCCAAATGCCCCTCAACTTTGCCACCTGCAGACTTGCTTTGGCAGGTGGAAACCACCCCCAGACCTGCTTCAACAGGTAGAAACTTCCTGCCTCGTCTGTGCTATTAATTAATGCCATGAGGCTGATTGGTATCACATCTCCCACACATGTCCTGATCCATCCATGAGTGCCACAGCTCAGCACAGGCAGAAGAGAAGGATGCTCCTCTAGTGAGGAAAGCTTCCCATGCATCTAAGGGAAATTCCCCTGTCTCCCCCCACAAAATACTGCTTCCAAGTGGTCTTCCCACACAGTGAGCACACCCTCTTTTCTGCCTCAGCATGTCACAGCACCACAGAGGCTGTGAAAGGCCAGCAGGGAGCAAAGGTGACACAGCATTGTGTCCCCAGCCCTACCCTGCGCCACTTCCACATCCTTTCCAGCACATAAACCCCCAAATATGGGCTAAGATCTGTATTTCTTGGGACAGCATCTCTCATATTTATAGACATAAAGGAAGTGTATGGGAGAGGATGCTGCTGCAGTCCAAAGATAAGCCTAAATGCTTGCTGCCTTCCCTATCTTCAAACTCAGCTCTGGCCTTTGATCCAATACCCACAGGTTAGAGACCTGCGTTCAGCCCCAAACCATCTTCTGACTGTCAGCAAAACACAGTCCTGAGCTCATGCCCAAGCAAGGAGAAAAAAAAGAGCAGTGTAAATTCCTCTTTATGCTACCAATTTGACTGTGAGGGTGCTCATCCACCTTGAGAAGAGCAGGAATGGTTAAACAGCAGAGAGTGAAGTAAAAATGAGCCATCCCTTTCAAATGAACGCTCACTCCCTGTATCCTTCATCCCTTTGTGCCCAGAGGGCCTCAGGCTCCTCTGCTGGACACCCCCAGCTCAGCTGGACACCCCCCGGTCTGCTGGACACATCCAGGTCTGCTGGACACCCAGCTCTGCTGGACACCACCAGCTCCACTGGACACCCTCAGCTCTGCTGCACACCCCCAGCTCTGCTGGACACCCCCAGCTCTGCTGCACACCCACCTCGTTGATGCGGATCTGCTGGAGCTCCTGCTCGGCCGCGGTCAGCGGGGCTGGGGCAGAGCAGGAGGACACGTGCTTCTGGTAACCGCTCAGGGACACGTCCTCCTGCAGACACAGGCACAGGGCAAACGTCACGGGTGGTCATCGCTGCAGGGCTGGATGTACCCCCAGCCTTGAGCAACACAGAGAGTCTCGGGCTGCCTCCTGACCAGGAGTCTCAACCTTGAGGCTTTTGGGTTCCTCCATGCAAATGCCACACTCGATTTGTGTGTTCTGACCACCCTGCCCCACCCCAGCCTCCCATGGCTGCGGCAGTGGGCTCCTCTGGCTGTTTCATGAAGCTCATGAGCATGGAAGTGAGAGGGAAAGGCAGAGCCCATAGCCCAGGAGCAGCAGAGGGACCTTGGAAAAGAGCAGGAATGCTCCCTTGCTTCCACCAGTACCAGAGGCCCCAGCAGGCCTCATGTCCAGGAGTCCCTGGCTGTGCAGCTCCCTCTGCCCACGGAAGAGAAGGAGAAACCTCCACACAAGGCAGCAGATCACCCTGGCATGGAGGTAGCTCCCGCTGCTGGAGTGACAGTGCCACCACCTGGCACTTCTTCTCCCATTCAGCATAAAGCTCCACATCTTGCAGCCTTCCTCCCACCTCCTCCACGCTCTCCATCACAGACCACAGCCATGCAGGCAGGAGAAAGCAACACTGGCCACTCAGGGAGCAGCACGGGGGACTGAGACCCTGCTGCTCCCTCACAAACACCAGCATCCCACATCCCACCGCCCACAAACTGAGCCCTGGGCAGGCTGCTGAAGCTCAGGGTCAGACCCAAAAGGTTGCCCAGGACCCACCACTGTACCTTCACTGTGCCAAACATCTCATCCTTTATGTGCCCCCCACCAAACTCCTTCTTCACGGTGGCTCTGGTGGCAGCGTAGAGCATCTTCAGCCGGACCTGCAGGACAGGGGTGGCAGTGCTGTCACACAGGGCCACCAGAGAGGTGCCCAGTGCTCACAGCCACCATCCCACCACAGGCTGCACACACCTCAGCCTCTCTGGGGAGGACCCACCAAGTTTCTAGCTCAGTCTGATTTATAATGGCAGCATCCCTAGTAGGGATCAGCTGGGAAAACCCACCAGGGCTATTTCTGTGGCTGCAGCCTTGCCAAGCGCTGCCCACAGTCCATCAGTTTATTCCATGCTTTGCTTTCTAGTCCCTGAGCTCCAGAGCACCATTTCCCACCAGCACCTGGGTTAGAGGAGGCACAAATACCACAGAGCCACTTAAAAGTGACTTGGAGCAAGGCCTAGAGAAGGGCTGGCAGCCACTCTGCATCAGCCTCAAGCAGAGCAGGGCCAGGCTGGAGGCAAACCAGTGTCAGTGCCAGCTCTTCCCAGCAACAGCCAGAGCCATGGTGGGGTGTCTCCATCCTGGCCCCGTGGTCCACACCACTCCCCCCTCTACATCCCAGCCCCTTCATCTCTTCACCTAGCACTGAAATAGGACAGAGACACAGTCCCAGTGCATCTCTTTGTGTCTTAAGAAATTTCCCATCCCCAAGCAGTCTCCATTTCTCAGCCCAGGCACCGTGACCTAGGGTGTGAATGCTCCACCACAGCCCCAGGACAAAGTCCTCTGGCCAGCACCTCCTCCCCCCTGCAGCTCCCCCAGCCCATCCCTGTCCCTGGGCTGGGTGCCAGGGCCTGCAGCTCACCGGGGAGCTGTCGGGGGACCAGGAGATGAAGAGCCACTCGTAGCCCTGGGCGTTCTGGCTGTCCAGGCGGTACAGGACGTAGCACGGCTGCTGCTCGTCCAGCAAGGGCAGCACAAAGGTGTCATAGTCAGCGTCCCAGCGCCGGGACAGCTCCTTGTGGGCTCCCAGCACGAGCTGCTCTGGAAGGAGAAGACAGGAAAGGTGGTGTTAGACAAAAGCAAGGTTCATCTTGCAGAACCAGGTGGCAGCTCACTAAGGGCTCACTGCAGCTCCACCACCACCAATGCTGTACTGCAGAAGAAGAAATTATGACTTTGAGTCACATGCAGGAGTGTACCTTCCCAGGGATGACCATGGGGCTGTGGCTGCTGTGGAGGGCTGGTTTTCTGCCAGCCTCCTGTCACTCATCTCTTCCCCTCCCATGTTCCTCACCAGCACAGTCTCCTCTCTGGTGACCACCTGTGGCTTCCTCCCATTCTGCTCCCTCCAGCTCTGCAGTCCCCAGCCATCCCTCCTTGCTCACAGGGGAACGCAAGACCTCCCTCATCCCACCTGGACAGGCCCTAGGGTCACTAGGGACACGGAGAACCACCAACATTTGGGTGCTGAGAAGAGTAATGGTCTCAGCAAAATCCAGGATGGTGAGCCAAAGCTACTCTCACTGGTGAGTAGTCTCTCTGTAGACATACTCTCACTGGAGTATGTCTCCCTGTAACATGTCAGGGGTCAAAATCAGAGCTGATACCCAAAGCCCATGTGTGTGGGCAGCAGTGATGTCCCACAGTCCCCAGCCTGGAGGGGGACCATGCTGCCAGGAGAGCCCCAGCCTCTGGAAGCCATCTGTGTATTTCACACACACCTCAAGGTATTGTTTTCAGCTGCTACACAGGTGGCAGTGGCACTGTGAGCCCTGTGAGCTGGGCAATGCTCAGCTGGGATTTAAACACTGGTGCAGGCATCCTATAGACATGAATCCATACCAGTGGATTGCACCATGGCAAGGGTCACATCAAGCTTTGTGGTGGCTGGGTGGTGGAAGAGTGGTGGTGCTGAGGACACCAGCATAGGTTGTTGGAAAACAGCCTGTATTTTTACTCCATTTGCAGATGCAGAAAGGCCTGGGAGATTATGGGACTCAGAACAAGATGTAGGAAATTCTGGAGGTGCCAAAGCAAAATGTTTTGGTTTCTTGGACAATTAGAACTTGAGGGCATGCTTGGCTGGGCACATGCCCTGCTAGGACCTCTGCCCACTGGGAGCCAGGATGCTCCTTGGCTGGGGCACAGCCCTCTCCCTCCCAACCCATTCAGCTCAGCACCTTCAAATCTCATGGCAGGAAAGCTTTTATGGAAAATAGTTGAGGAATGAAGGGTTTGGGAGGAATTACTCACCCCTTCTTCCCACCCAGGCAGGACATCCCCTATGACAGCAGTGTAGCCCTCCCCTGTCCAGCACTGCCCCAGCATCTGCCACCACTGCTGAATCCAGTTATTTGTGCAACCACAAGTTGCTGGTTCAGTAACAAGGACTGCAGAGAACAAAGTGTTTGACCTTTGGCAAAACTACCTGTTTTGAGAAAGGGAAGCATAAAAACCTCAGTGTACTCCTAAAATAAACACAAAGCTCTGTAAATGGATTTGTGCATCACAAAGGTCTGAGACTCTGAAGAAACTGCAGGAATTTCGAAGGGCCAAACCCACTGGCAGTTCGAGGGTATCTCTGTCTGCAAAACAAACCAACACCTCACTCACAAAGCAATCAGTGCTGAGTCACCCCAGGCTATTCCCGGGCTGTGACTCAGCCGGACCCCAGCCGAGCTGATGTGAGCTGGCAGCCTTCAACTTTCCCCTGAGCTCTTTGCAGTTCTGCTCAACCCATTCAGGGACAAATTTTCTTCCTTGAGAAGTGTCAGAAAGTGGAAACTCGGAGCAGACACTCTTCAGCAAAGTTACTGACTGGCTGTATCAGGCTGTTTGCACCAGGAGCTGCTGCTGGAAAAGCAGAGCTGGGAGTGTTTCTGGCCCTGGAGGAGCCCCCAGCCCTCCCTGCATTGCTCTGGAATGCCTCTACAAGGCAGCCCTGCCCGCAGCTCTGGTGGGTGCCAATCTCCAAAACTCAGTGCACACCATCATTTATCAGTAAAGAAATGCATCCAACAGGGAAGTCCACAAAGCCAATCTTGTCCCAAATCCTGCTGACAGTGAGGAGCAGCATCATCTATAAACACGCTGGAGCATAGGCTGCTCTCATGCCAGGAAACTGCTGCTGAGTCCTGGTGCACATCCTGCTGCCCTACTCCCTCCTCCATCCAATCTCAGCTCTTCCCAGTAGCTCTCCAAAGGAAAAATGACTTCTCAAATTGCTCCCAAAGGATCACTCAGCCACAAAGGTGGTCTTGGAGATGTCTGGACACAGAGCATCTGCCATAAGGCTCCTTGCACCACCTTCCTCTCCTTCTACTCACTGTTGCCTGCTCCAAAATGCCCCAAGACAAATTCTCCAGAGGGCAAAAAGTGCTACAAGCCATCAAGCAGAGAGGGAGGCTCCTCTTGCACATCTCCTGTTCAGGCAGGGCAGCTGGCATGTCCTCCCCCAGGCAGTTCTGGACACCTCCCTTCCAGGGTGAGCATCCATCTGGCTGGCTGTGCCATCTGCCTGGCCACTCATTAGTGCCCAAAGGTCCTTCTCTGCTGGGTACCAGCAGGCTGATGTTTCCTGTGTGACAGAGGAGTGGTGGCCCTGCTGCTGACAATGGACAGATAAATAAATCCCATTCAGCCAGAGCAGAGATGGTGGGAAATGTTTTCCATTGCTGGTAGAAAGTCTCCCTCGCTGGTATCAGCAGCCGCAACCCAAAACCAGTGGCACAAGCCCTAAGCACCCAAATGTCCAGGCTTAGGGACAGGCATGACTTATCCTAACACAAACCTGATTCCCACTTTTTAAAAGGAAAAGGATCTGAGAGCACAAAATTGTTGTCAAAGATACTCCAAAGAAACAAGGTGGATGGTTCATCCCCCAACAATGGAGACCTTGCCAAGGACAAAGCCAACATTGCTGAGCCTTGCTGCAGCTCCACTGATGTGTCCCATGCATTTCCAGTCACGCTGCTCTTCTGAACAGGACGTTGTGGCCTCTCCAAAGGTCAGGTGGGCTCCTTATGACCACAGCCTCCTTACAACCACATCCACCTCGGTGTTTGCACTGGTGGCCCACCCAGGGGAGGTGGTGACAGCAGCTTGGCAGGCCAGTAATGTCCCCGTGAGAAACAAGTCATTCATATGCAATTGTATGAGGGCGAGGTGATGGAAAACCTACACCAGGGCAGCTCCCCGCCCGCAGGGACATTCAATCAGTGCTGAGCTCTGCTCACTTGCTTGACAGATGCAGAGGCCACCCGAAGGACCCCTTCCATGGGACAAACATGGGCAAGATTGGTGCTAGCCTGTATCCTGGGCTGCAGGATACCCTGGGCAGCCCCATGGGATGGGATGGGTCTCACAGTGTGGCATTCCTCAAGGGATGCCACTGTGGGCCTGTGCTGGTCCTTGAGCCACAGAGCACCCCCCTGGTCCCACAATTACTTTGCCAGGTGTGGGATGATACATCTGAGGAAGAAGATGCCTGTGCATCACCCCCAACAAAGGTCCCAGGGTCCCTGCAGCAGCCTGTCACAGGGATCCCACAATAAAATCTGACACAGCAGCAGCAAAGGCCCCCACAGAGCACTGATCCCAGGCTGGTATTGCTCTGCTGGCAAAGTCACTGCTCCCCACTGGAGCTGCCCTGGGGCTCCAAGAGCTGCTCACCAGCACACCCAAAGTTTGGGCTTGTATTTCAGGTCTGGGTTGCCACATGCCCCAAAGCCCCAGCAGCATTTTTGCTGAGGTTCCCAAAACCACAAGCTGGCACCGCAGTGGTGAAGAAGAAAGGAGCAGAGAAAACAGAGAATAGACAGACTGTAAATCAAAGCACTTAAAAATGGGACTTACCGTCCTCAATGATGACCTTGATGAGCCGAACTGAACCATTTCGGGCTTTGGCAAAAAAGTCCCTTAATTCTGTGGTGGCTGAAAGAACCAAAAACATTGTGATCAGATCTAGCAATCAAAGCAGGTGCTGGGTTGCTCAGTGACTGACCAGAAAGGGGACCAACTTGGCAGGACAAAAGTTTAAAACTCAAAAAAAACCCCCCAAAAAAATAATTAAATCTCTGGTGCCAAAAAAGTTGTAATAAAAAATAACAATAATACAAAACCCAAAAAGCTGGGAGAGAAGTGTTGCGTCTCCTTGAGGCGTCAGAGTTAAATAGCAGCTGGGGGCACATGTGATCCAGAGAACCTGATACTTGGCCTGGGTGAACATAATCACCCAAATTTAGATGATGGCTTGGCCAGTGCAGGCAGGGAGAGCTCAAGTGACAAGTTGATTCGCTTTACAGAGCGGCAGGGTTGGCATAGTCGGGGTGCCTGGAGGATGTCCTGACAGGCTGTGATGCCCTGGGCTTGTGACACACGGCAGGATGCTGCTCCCGAGCGGCTGGGAACCAGCACAGCTCCAAACTGGAGCTGCTGGTTTGGAGCTGAGCCCGTGGGGAAGGGAAAGGCAATAGCCCCAGGGTTTTGTTCCGGAGCTGGTAGGGCTTGGATTGCAAAAGGCTTTTGGGAAGCATTTTGGGGAGCATTCCTCCTCACCCTGCTCCCTGAGCACCAGACAACGGCAGCCAGTCTTCAGCATCCTACCAGGAGGCAGCTGGATACTGAAGGAGCAGCCCATAGCCAGCACCGGAGGCTTCATCTGCCCACCCCAGAGGCATCACTGGCACAGAGCTCCCTGTGCCAGCCGGGACACGCCCCGTGTGAAGGCAAAGCCCAGCAGATGGGGCTCTGAGGTGCCAACCCCCTGACAAGGATCATCTCCAGGACTGGCTCCCGAGCCCTTTCCTGGATGCAGCTGTGCAGCAAAGGGGCCCCTGTGGGTTCATGGCTGCTGTGCTTGTTAGAAATATTCAAGAAACTGGTGTTGCAAAGATTAGAGACCTGAGCAGAAGCCCCTTAGCCCACACCAGGATCCATGCACAGAATCTCCTTCAGCAGCCCCTCCATTCCCAGTGCTTTGCTGTGCCAAAAGAGCCAGCAGCAGGAAGGAACCTGGAGCCCAAGAGCATCCACAGCTAAGGCACTTGGCAAAGGCAGCCATCCCTACAAGGGCCATATCCATTCCCTGCAGTCCCTCCAGCACCGGGTACACCCTCGGCACAGTCCCAGGAGGAGCCTCGATGTTACCCAGCACTGCACAAGGGACATGGGTGGCCACTGACCGTCACTCAGTGGTGCCCTCAGTCCCCTGGAGGCAGACCCTGGGCTGGGACACTGCCCACAGCTCCCCCAGCCCCGAGGGAGGAGGAATCCCTGGGGAGCTCCCAGGAAACTCCTGCCCGTCCCCCACAGGTGACACCTCTGCGATGCATCTGCTCCACCAGCTCAAAGCCTGCCCTGATCACAGGTCTGGGTGGCTTCTCCTCCCACGGAGAGAAGAGGCACATGTGAGGAAGAGCTCCCAGTCTGGCTCCCTGCAGGCAGCAGCTCCCATACAAACCCAGAGATGCCATCCTGACAGGCCCTGCAGGAATGGGCACACAGACACCCCGGCAAAGACACATCACTCTTTAAATGGCATTTTAGGGGACACACAGAAGACTTGTGGTGTAATCCCACCAGAAGCATGCTCCCTCCAACAGCATCAAGGCATGCAGCTCTCCCAGTTCCCAGAGCAGACATTCACCCTGTCCCAGTGCCAGCCAGGAGCTCAGCCCGCTCCTGCTGTGCCCAACCAAGGATACTCCGGTATTTTTAGCCCCTTTCCCTGTTGAGAGCGGCTGTTTCCTTCTGGCAGAATCTGTGGTTACTGCATACACACAAGGCGGAAGAGGAAGAGAAAAAGACATTTATACACCCAGGAAACCTTGTGCAAAAGACAAAAGCTCTTAATAAGCATTAAGTTTCACCAATTCCTATTACACTGCAAAACTATGAGAGAATAACATCGTTCTTGGATGTTTCCATAGCATCAACTTCAGGGAAGAAATAGGAAATCTCTGCAGCACTAACCAGCTTGCAAATCCCTCCAGTCTGACGCCATCCTTCCCAGGACCCAAAAGCAGGTGGGGGGGTGGGTCTGGAAAATCAGGAGTCTGGGAAAATGCAACTCTGCAGCCTACTTGGAAATGCTAGGAGTGCCCTGAAGATCAATAGACAGGATGATTGGAAGTTGAGTTGGTTGACAAGGGACAGCCAAGCACTGGGGTCTTGTAACACCGAGGGGTTGAAGGGCATGAGGAAGAGCCTGGATGCTGCCAGAGAAGCCTAGCACACTACAGGAAATACCACAAGGTCTTCCAAGGAGGGAGACTGTTTCCAGAGGAGACAGCAGCAAAGCCTTCAAAAAAAACATCAGAGTGGGCTTGCAAGATTTAATTCTGCTGATTATGTTTTTTAAAGCAATTTTCATTGAAATAAAAACACCAGAGTGTCTCCAATGTCCCCTTCTGCCTCTCACAATGCAGAGCCAAGAGCCAGTGAGGAGGGAGAGGAATAAACCAGGGAAGGTTTGAGCATGAACTCAGCAACTGTTTCATTACAGCATGATTACGACTTAATTGGCACAGCAGACTTGACGAGATAGCTTGTGTGCCTGAAATATTAATAGAGAAGTCAGATCTGGAGGAAGAGCTAGAGGAGACCTCACACTGGGGATGGTCCCTCATGGCATCCCCTGCCAGGAAATCTCCAGGATACAACTCAAGAGCTGAAAAACCCATGTGTGAGGAAACCATAAAAACCAAGGGAGAGAGAGGAGCAACAGGGCGGAGGACTGAAAGGGACCCACACATCCAACTCACCCTCTGTATATGGCTTCCTGGGAAATCCTGGAACAAATAATCCAGAAACAAATCCAAGCTGGGCTACAGCCAGAGTGGATCTATTAATGCCAAGATGCATGAGATCCCTCACGCTTCCTCCAGCAGGGCCAGAGACCTGTGGGCTTCAGGGGTCTCAGCTCAGCTTCTAAGTGTCTCCAAGTGTCAGATGCCAGCTTGGGAGCATGGTGGTGGTGAACCTCCATAGCACGGACACAAAACCACATGGATAACTCACTCAGGGAGGTATCAGAGGTGGGATCAAGCAAGGTGTCCTGGGCACCTGTGGTGGGTCCAGGTTTATCCACATTTCCATGAACACTTCTGGCAGCTGCAATAGCGCTTCCTGCAGCTGTAAGGTGGGAAGCTAGAGGAGATGTAAATGTGCACTGGAGAAAAATTCACCGTTCTCTCAGAAGACTGGACAAATGGGCTGGGAAAAAAAGAAATAGGATGAAACTCAATAAGAAGCAAAGTACCATAGCCAGGGAAAGGACCAGACAGGGCAGGGTCCAGCAGCTCCAGAGAAGAGAGGAGCCAGGTTAGTCACTTCACGCTGCTGCAGGCAAAGTCGTTTGTGAAGGCACAAACAAGAGCATGACCGTGTTATCTGGTGCTGACAAGGCTGCAGGCACAGCACGAACAGCACGCCCAGGCTCAGCATCGTGCAAGGAGCAAGGCAGAGAACAGACAGCACCTGTGCCAGAGGGCACAGCGTGCAGGAGCCACCAAAGGAACTGCAGCTGGTCAGCCCAGGGAAGAGAAGGAAAATCAGGAACAGCTTGTACTGGTTTTCCAGCTGGAAACATCAAGACCCACCTTGGCACTTGGGAAATCTCATGTTGAGGTGACCAAACCCTGGGAAGGACACCAGGACATCCCTGCCCTGAAAAATGGATGTTGCTTGGGATGTTGCTGCTTTGAGGCAGTGTGAGCTCAGTAGCATCTGAGGAACCTTCTGACCTTGCCACAAGGCAGCCCTGCTGTTGATCCTCCTGGCAGACCTGGTGGGCACACGCACCCTGTGCCTCCTCAGCCACCCACACAGCCCAAAATCACCTTCAGCCACTGAGTCCTGCAGCACCTCCCTCTCCCACTTGTTTGTAGGCTTCAGATGAGTTGTCCCCTGTTCACGAGCAATCTGCATTTAGAAGCCTGATAACAGCAGGTCCCCTTGTCCCACACAGGCTCCCAGCCCAGTAGGCACCTGCCACCCATTTGGGATGGAGGGCTGAGCAGAGCCAGCTGATGACTCTGGAGCACCCAGGCAGGGCAGCTCACAGTGTGGCAGGGAGGTGATGGTTGGCCAGCAGTGGCCTTTAGGTGGCCCCAACCCCACAGGCAAATGGCCAGAGGAGAACTGGAGCTGCTGGGGGGAGGGCAGGACAGTGCCACCTCTCTGGCAGCACTGACCAAAAGGTGCAGACCAAAGCCTGAATTCTCTCAGCTTAGGGAACAGCAGGGTAGCCAGATCCTTGCACCTACTGACAGACACTGCCTGCCGTCTGTCTTGACTGCCCTGTGCTGGGATGTGCCCCTTTGGATGAGTCCTCAGGAGATTTCAGTGCCGGGCTTGAAGCATCGCTCTTGTTCGAACTGCTGAACGATGGTGCTTGCGGGTACCACCCTGCCAAACACTGCTCCCAAACGGAGCCTTTTTCTGCTGTGTACAGCCCCAGCTAGCTTCTCTGAGCAGAGCTGGGCTGCAAGGAGCCCGGGGGGGAGAGAGGCAGCGATGACAGCTGTAGCCACAGCAACAGCCACTCTGTCCCCGGGGCTGCACCGTGGGACGGGGATGGAGGCGACAGCCACAGCGCCTCCCCTACACGTCCCCTCCTCCAGCCCCTCGCCCACTTGTTGGGATAGCAACAAGTTTTTGCTTGTTTGACCCTTCCCCATCGCCCCCACGCAGTGCCCAGCTCCCAGATCAATAATGCATGCCTCTGAAACAGATGCCTCTCTCAATACACCAAGTCACCTTGCCCTCCCGACAGGAAACCCGAGCCTCCGGCCATCAATCTTTCATTCCCTGGACATAATCTTCAACTCGATGCGACTGCAAGCGGCTGCTTCCCTTTCACTGTCCGGGGCACAGCGTGCCTGGGATGCAACAGGGAAACTCAGCCAAAAATCCAGCCACAAACCCAGGCAAAACTTGTCCAAGTTCCAGGGATGCTTGGCCAGACAGAAGTCAAGATGGTGATGAATAAAACATGGTTATATCTGCATTACCCACGCTTCCCCTGCCCAGGCAGCTCTGCCCAGCTCCTGGTCTGGACATGCAGGAAAGGATACAACTGCAACAGGCACAAAACATCTTTTGCTGCTGCTAAAATTCCTTCCTTTCAGTCTATCCCAGTGTAACTCCTTTACACAGTGCCTGCTCAACTTGCTTGCTGCAGAGCTTTTCTGCCAATGGACACAGTTGGCCAGTTTAAGCAGTAAGAGGATTTTATTTCTCACCATGGAAAAAATAAATATGTCCTTGCAGGGAATCTTTTCTGAGGAAAAAAGCTACAGATGTCAGAAGAAAATAGAAAGAAGGGAGCAGAGTGGTGGGGGGAAAGGGAGTAAGAGGAGAGACAAGCAAAGCTTTTCTCCCAATTTTCTGTGGGGTTAGACTGTATTCCTGCAGGATTTCACATGGACAGCTCCAGGTTCTCAGTGCAAATCCTGCCCAGAGACTTTCAGCCACCTGTCTGACACTAGACATTTGCTTCTCAACACCTCATTTTCCACGTGTGACCTGTCTTGTCTGCACTTCGCCACCTTGGATTGGAGTTATTTGTCCCTTCCCTTGCTCCAGAGTAGGCAGCACTTGCCCTGCAGGCAGCATCAGCTGGATCCTGGGGCAGAGTGGTGCAGCACACATGGTCCATCCTTGCCTGCAGAAGCTGCTGGTTGCTGTTCCTTCTCTCCGCCCAGTAAAGCCACCAGCAGAGCACTGGTCTGTGCATTGGAGGGGGCAGGCACCCAGGGACAGACCCTGGCCACGATCTCACTGCATTTAGTCTCTCAGTGCACATTTTCCAAAGGATTTCCTCTATCCCACCACTTTATGTACTTGACTTCAAGGGGTTTGAAGGGCATTTATCTGCTCTTCCACCAGTGCTGCCATTCTGGCCATCCTGGTGTACCCTCCACTTGGATATGAACCATACCCCCATCAGGCATCAACCTCCAAGGTGGCCCCAGAAGAGAGACTGGGTCTGGCTCCTCAAAAATATCCTTGCAGCAGCCCAGTGTCCTCTGTTCCCCATGCGTAAAAAGGGCCAGGAACCAGCCAGCCCTTCTCCTACTCTTTGACTGATGGCACCTTGTGACATGTCTCTGGTTAGGAGCTGCCCTCAGCATGCCAAAGCTGCTCCCCAAATTTGTGCATCCAGGTGCCTCAGGAGCCAATGCTGCCTCCCAGCACAGCCAAAGGAGAGGGGCTAAGGATGTGGTAGATGGGAAGAGAAGATCCTTCCTTCTTCTCTCTAGAGAGCCAGGAAGCTGCCTGCTTTCCACAAAGACTTTGCAGACCCAGTAGCTCCTGGGTCCCAGCTCAATGCTCTTTTTTTTAGCACCTGACAGCATTCCTGCCCATGTGCACCATGGTTATGCTTCTCCCAAAGCAAACATCCATTCCTACCAGATGTGTTCCCAAAGCAAGATCCAGACTTGGGAGAAAGTGGCAGCTCAGCTGTGGATGGGAGCAAAGGTCCTCAGATCCCCAGATCTCGCCACCTCCCCCAGAAAGAACAGACACCAAACTCTATTTTTGGGTTGAAGAAACAAAATGTATTTGATTTCTCTACTTTCTAGATGAAAAAAAATACCCTCTAAAAGACTTTTTCTCTCTACCCAGTGGTCTTGAAAGAGATCCCAGAAGCAACTGAAAGCAGATGACCTCCCACCAGCATCAAAGCCCCGGTTCAGCATTGCCTTCCCAAGGTTCTAAGCTCAGGCAGCAAATGCTGTTCCAATCTAATGCTACTCCGAGCAAAACAGAGACTGCAAAAACACTCAATGAACCCTCCCAGCTGTAGCTAAAAAGCAGGTTTCCAGCCCCAGGAAGCCCACAGCAACCTTTGATAGCTTCCAACCGCCTCCCCAGCCTGGCAGTCTCCATGGCAGCCTGGTTTTCTTGCCAGCACCTTCAAGAGAGCTGCCTGGGATACCTAAAAAAAATAATAATTAGCCCCTTGTCCCTGCAGGAAAGGCTCAGGCCTGACTGCAGTCCCTGACCCCCCAGCTCTCATTGCCATTGCTTCCCCTCCATCTGTTTCTCCCCAAAAGCTGGGATGACGTGGGAGTATCGCAGCAGGAGGCTGCTCCGGGGGTTCCCCACCGCCACCTCACCCTGCCTCACACAGATCTAGCACAGTGTCAAGCAAAATCCTTCGCCAGCTTGTCTGCAACCTCCTCTAAGCCAGCCACGGAATCTGATCATAATTCCCCTGGGAGCAGATGTCTTCCTGAAAATATGGGAGAAATGGGAATGAAAAAACAGAACACGCTGGGTGCACACAAAGATAACAAGGCTCCAGAAACCAGGAAGATGTGAATAATCCCTCATCCTCAGCAAACAACAGACCTCAGTGCCTCAGCAGAGGGGATGAAAGCAGCACTGGAATTGCTGTTCCTCATTCGATATGGAATCTGCTCTTTGCTGAGCAAACAGAATAATTCAACCACTGTGATCGGGTGGGGCAGACTGAAATATCCAAAACCCAACTCAGGAGGGGGTTCCCTTAAAGACTGGAGCACCCCAGTTGTGCATCACAGGTGTTGGAGAGACAGATTTGAATTCAGAGAGGAAATAGCAGCTTCCTGGAAGAGAGACGGCGCAACAGGGCATGGAGAGATGTCCAAGATGCTACAACAGCAAGACCACCCAATACAAGCTATTTTCCATAACCACGGGGAGGTTTTTACACCACCCCCAGCACAGGAATCTGCTGTCAGAATCATCAGGTCCCTGCCCACCCTGCACCGCTGCAGCTCCCTGGGGGAAGTCGAGTCCCTTCCCCTTTCCTGCTGACAGGGCACCTCACGTCACACCCCACGGTGACTCCCAGCACCGGGCACAGTTTGCCAAGCAGTGGGCAACCAAGGTCAGCGAAGGTCAGTGCTCCTAGAGAAACCCAGGCTGGCACATCTCCCTCCCTGGCAGCTGCAGGGTGCCAGGAAGGACAGCACCGGCAGCACAGGAGCAGCCGGGCATGGCCAGTGAGCAACAGGCAGCAGCCTCCAGGGCACACAGTGCAACAGGCCCTGCCTGCCCAGACCCCACAGACAGCTCTGCAGAGAGGGGCCAGCACACCCAGAGCTCAGGTGGGTGCAGGGGTCCATCCTGCTGATTTTTAACTTTTTTAATTATTGTTCCACTTTTACACAACAAGGAAGACTTAATTAGAGCCTGAACTT